CTCTTCTAAAAATGGAAAACGTGAAGGATTTTTATGTTAATGACAAAAGATTCCTTCTAATTCAACTATTAAGTTCTGCATCTGATTTTTATTTGTACTTTCCTTTTCTTTTTCCAACCTAATCCGATCTCTCCAAAAAGCAAAAATCTGTTTTGACCGGTTCTCAAGCGAAATCGGACCGCTTAGACTAGACGAGAATGGTTGAACCGGTAAGCCGTAATTCAGAGTCGGAATGAATGAAAATAGAATTTATTTAAGTTAAATTTTATTAAATATAATATTTTTAATTAATTTTATATAAATTTTTATATCAAATGTAATTAAAATAAAGTATAAGATATGAATCGGGTTTTCAAATTCAATAATTTGTTTTCAAATCCCAACATTGATTTGAAAAAAAACTTTTTATTCCCTCAATTTCTTCATGTTAAAAAAAAATATAATATAAGATATAAAATTAAATTAAAATATAATTTTTATATTTAAATTTTATAAAAAATGTAAATTTAATATAAAATTTTATTAAAAAAATTTATTATAAATTTTATAATTAATAAAATTTGATTTGATATTATTTTTTATTCGGATAAATATTTAATTTAATTTATTATATTATTAAAAATATAAAAAAATATCACTTAATTTACCATGTCATCAAAAGATATCTTTCTTTATTAATGAAGTGGGACCCATTCGAATGAATTTAACACATGGTAATATGATTTGGCACGAGGGTAATATGAAATGTCAAAATATTTGCCCATATCATCACTTTGTTCTCCACATCATAAAAATAAAAAAAATGCCACATAAGTAAAGTTAACGGTTCAAATTAACAGAAGGATTAACGGAGTGCATTTCGTGAAGTTAAGGGATCAAAAAAGTGCAAAAAATTATTGAGGGACCAAAAATGTTCATTTTTTTAAGTTGAGGGACCAAATTAAATATTTAACCATATATTAACTCAACTCGCAAGGAAGTCGACAGAGATTCCTTCAGGGAAGTGTTATGTTCCTGGGTGATTTTAGGCTTTAGGGAGTTCTGCAAGAAGAAGAGATTTGAATGCAGTGGAAAAGTTCTAGAAACATTTGGAAGCAATTTTTTTTTTTTTTTTGAAGATATATACAAAAAAAAAGAAAAATTTAAATGCACCGTTTCTTTAAAGGCTGTCCTGGTAATTTTCTTACT